ATTGCCTCCACCTAATGTTGTGTCAACAAAAAAAAAAGAAAAAAAAGAATCCGAGGCAGAAGAAATAAAAAGGAAATGCGAGAGTGATAAAAAAAGAGAAATAATAATAATAAATGACGTATTCTTTCTTCTTTGTTCCTTGTTCCACGATAATCACAAATTTCCATCGTTCTATATATCCATATTCTTTCTTTTGATAATTAAGCAACTAAAAATATGAGATAAGCCAGAAAAATAAACTACTTCATTTTTTTACCGCAGAGATGTTGAACACATCAAATTGCTCTAAATTATCAAAAAAAATTAATACAAATTTTTCTGTCTAATCTAGATCCAAAATTTGATAAGTTGGGTTGAATTTTTCTATTATATAATTATACATTTAACCTTACAGTACCCAATTCTTCTAACTTCACGCAATTGAACAACTCCATGTATTTTTTCCAGTTTTGTCATGTTACATGAGATAACCTTTAAATAAAAGAAATCAAAATTAAAGAAAATTAAAGTTAAATTAGAGAAAATTAGAGAAGTTGTTACAAACATACCAAATATCAATATTCTCGTATCCACCATTTATCTCGACTTCCTTCTCTCTTTTCTCTTTTGTTCTTGACGAATGTTTTCTACAATTATATTAAATGACATAGAAGTTGAATATCTTTCTTTTCTTTATCTTAGTTCTCTTTTCTTTCTCTCTTTCATTCTCTTTCTTCTTAAATAAATTGGTTAAATGAGAATGGAAATTTATTATTTTGATATAACCGTAAAATAGTTTTTATGCATTGATACATTTTCTATGGTCTTTTGATAATGCAAGTTTTTTAAACTAATTTTAATATAAAAAAATTAAAATGTGAGATGATAGAAGTTTTTTAATCGTCTATGTAGTTGATTTTTGTAAAGGGTGTTAAATGGAATAATACTGTGAATTATTGGACAAAATTAGAAAATAAAAAGCTACACCAAAACAATATAGTGCCTTTATCTATAACATATATAAAGACAATACTTGGTTTTTGGTGTAGCTTTTTTTATACCAAATTTACCCTTATTTTAAAATATATATAACTTACACAATAACTTCCATTGAACTACTACTATCATCTTTCATATAACTCCCTACTAATAGCTTCCCACATAACTTCCATGTAAAATTAATATTAAATAAAAATATATTATTTATATTTATATGTATGCAATAAAAAAGCGGACAGACGGGCACGCGAATACCCGTCTGGACGCTAGTAGAAAAATAAACAAACTAAACTAAAGAAATGCTTAAGTCTAAACATAGAGGAAGGTGCATCAAAATGCTCTGATCAGTGGTGTTCATGGTGGTTGTAAGCTTTATGGTAAGATTGTGATTGTAATGACACATGAAAGCACTCAAGTTGTTATCCAAAGAAAAAACATAAACAAAAATAGTCCCACATCGAAATATCATGTACAAATGCAAGTGTTTATAAATAACTTTTACACAATAGTTTACAATTAATAAAAATTGGGCTACTCTTGATGACAACAAGGGCCCAAGTCCTAAACAAATATTTAAATAATTAATTAATTAATTACATTATTTAAAAAAATATTTTTTGACAAAAATTTAATTAAAGTGAAACTCGCTAATATTTATGGAACGTTTTGTGTATTTAACCCTTAATATTATTATTATTATTATTATTACTACTACTAGCGTCCAGACGAGCACTCACGTGCCCGTCTGTCCGGTTTTTCTAATACCGACTTTCATAAATTATAATTTGTGTTAGTTTTTTATTTAATTTTAAATTATTTATAAAATAGTCAAAGATAATGATATTGATTCGCTGACGCGCATGGATCAAAAACGAGTATTTTTTAAAATAGTAGTAACGCAACAATAACTCAGATGTCGATTCACAAGGATTCTTGTTGATGAAATGACTAATTGAAAACGATTATAGGGGGTTGTTTTGATTTAGATTTCAATTAAGAAGATAAATGGTAAAATAAAAGATTAAAACAGGTTAATCTACCGGTTCGACTCCCAACTTATCATCGGTCATTACAATTCAAATTCCCTAAGCGGTTCCAATCGCTATTCGTATTGTAATATTGGCGTAAAATCATCGACAATACTACACGACTTATATTCCTAATCATCGAATTAAGCAAACGGTTAAAGATTGCGCAAATTAACGAAAAAGCTAAGTTATCCGCGATTTAGGTAAGGAACATCGACCTATCGAATTAAATCCAATTTATTTTATAAGAACGAATTAAGCAAACAAAAATTATAGAACGAATTGGAAAGGAATTGAATTAAATCGGAATTATAATAAACCTCAAAGGATTACGGAATTCGAAACCGGCAGATTTTCCCTCGGGATTAGTTCGCCATGGAATACATGAAAGCAAAATAAATTTCGTAAAAACATGGGTAAGAACTACTGTAGCACGACAGCAAAGCATGTAAAAAAAAATAAGGTTTGCATTAAACACTCAACTGGGTCGGAGACATAAACCAGGCCCAATATGGATGATCTAAAACAACTAAATTATTAAAGTCGGAAACTTCAACGAATTATTCGAGACTGATGCATTCCCAATCAGATTCTTCGTGCAACATGAATGTTGTAGATCTTTTTCTTAGCTTTCCAACGAATGGTAGAACACCTCGATCTGATTCCCGTAGCTTCAGTTATGGATTTTTTATTAAAAGCTGCTAATGCTGAAAATAACAAACGAAAATCAAGTAAGGTTGAGAATAAATTGAATTGTAAAAACATCATAAAATAGAAAAATAAACAAACTAAACTAAAGAAATGCTTAAGTCTAAACATAGAGGAAGGTGCATCAAAATGCTATGATCAGTGGTGTTCATGGTGGTTGTAAGCTTTATGGTAAGATTGTGATTGTAATGACACATGAAAGCACTCAAGTTGTTATCCAAAGAAAAAACATAAACAAAAATAGTCCTACATATAAATATCATGAACAAATGCAAGTGTTTATAAATAACTTTTACACAATAGTTTACAATTTAATAAAAATTGGGTTACTCTTGATGACAACAAGGGCCCAAGTCCTAAACCAATATTTAAATAATAAATTAATTAATAAGATTATTAAAAAATTATTTAAAAAAATATTTTTTGACAAAAATTTAATCAAAGTGAAACTCGCTAATATTTATGGAACATTTTGTGTAATTAACCCTTATTATTATTATTATTACTACTAGCGTCCAAACAGGCACTCACGTGCCCGTCTGTCCGGCTTTTCTAATACCGACTTTCATAAATTATAATTTGTATTAGTTTTTTATTTAATTTTAAATTATTTATAAAATAGTCAAAGATAATGATATTGATCCACTGACGCGCACGGATCAAAAACGAGTATTTTTTAAAATAATAGTAACGCAACAATAACTCAGATGTCGATTCACAAGGATTCTTGTTGATGAAATGACTAATTGAAAAAGATTTCGGGGGGTTGTTTTGATTTAGATTTCGATTAAGAAGATAAACGGTAAAATAAAAGATTAAAACAGGTTAATCTACCGGTTCGACTCCCAACTTATCATCGGTCATTACAATTCAAATTCTCTAAGCGGTTCCAATCGCTATTCGTATTGTAATATTGGCGTAAAAGCATCGACAATACTACACGACTTATATTCCTAATCATTGAATTAAGCAAACGGTTAAAGATTGCGCAAATTAACGAAAAAGCTAAGTTATCCGCGATTTAGGTAAGGAACATCGACCTATCGAATTAAATCCAATTTATTCTATAAGAACGAATTAAGCAAACAAAAATTATAGAACGAATTGGAAAGGAATTGAATTAAATCGGAATTATAATAAACCTCAAAGGATTACGGAATTCGAAACCGGCAGATTTTCCCTCGAGATTAGTTCGCCATGGAATACATGAAAGCAAAATAAATTTCGTAAAAACATGGGTAAGAACTACTGTAGCACGACAGCAAAGCATGTAAAAAAAATAAGGTTTGCATTAAACACTCAACTGGGTCGGAGACATAAACCAGGCCCAATATGGATGATTTAAAACAACTAAATTATTAAAGTCGGAAACTTCAACGAATTATTCGAGACTGATGCATTCCGAATCAGATTCTTCGTGCAACATGAATGTTGTAGATCTTTTTCTTAGCTTTCCAACGACTGGTAGAACGCCTCGATCCGATTCCTGTACCTTCAGTTATGAATTTTTTATTAAAAGCTGCTAATGCTGAAAATAACAAACAAAAATCAAATAAGGTTGAGAATAAATTGAATTGTAAAAACATCATAAAATCTATAACATATATAAAGGCAATACTTGGTTTTTGGTGCAGCTTTTTGTTATAACAAATTTATCTTTATTTTAAAATATATAACTTATACAGAACTTCCATTGAACTACTACTATCATCTTTCATATAACTCCCTACTAATAACTTCCTACATAACTTCCATGTAAAATGAATATTAAATAAAGATATATTATTTATATTTATATGTATGCAATAAAAAAGCGGACACGTGCCCGTCTGGACGTTAGTATATTGTTATAAATAATAGTTAATAAAAAAAAGTTAATAAAATAGAAGTTGAATTATAAAATAAAAAACAAAAGGTTATAATTGAAATAAAAACAGACTACACTAAATTCAAATTTTTTCTTTATATATGTTATAGATAATAGATTATAGATAAAATAGAAGTAATATATAATAATATAAAATTTAATAAAGGGTCGTATCAGATTATAGATAAAATAGAAGTAATATATAATAATATAAAATTTAATAAAGGGTCGTATCACCGGCATTTGTTAAAAAGAAAAATTAAAATTTAAAATAAAAATTAAAAATGATATATTTGGAAGAAAAAAAAACTTCACAAAAATTATGTTTTATAAATTATATTATAGATATTTTGAATTGTTATTTTGGATTCTCTAATTAACTCTGACAGTTGCTAGCTGCAAACTAAGTTCCAATTGAAATGGCTGCTTCTTCATTTTCCATTACCTTAACCACCAAAATCCCCAAATTCGCTTCTTCAACCCACCACAAATCTCATAATTCCCAAATCACCCATCTCCGATTCAAACCTTCCCCTATTCGCACCCTCCTTCACTCCCCACGCAAACCAATTAACCTCCGCACTAAAGCCGCCTCAGTCCAATGCCTCTTCACCGGCCTCGTCGAAGAAATAGGCACCGTCAAGCAAATCGGAGCATCCCCTGACGGCGGTTTCGACTTAAAGGTCAACGCAACCACAGTCCTCGACGGCATCAATCTCGGCGACAGCATCGCCGTCAACGGCACATGTCTCACCGTAACAGAATTCGACACAAAAACTTCCGATTTCACCGTAGGTCTAGCCCCGGAGACGCTTCGAAAAACTTCTCTCTCCGAATTGGAAGCCGGATCGCAGGTGAATCTCGAAAGGGCGGTGACTCCGGTTACTCGAATGGGCGGACATTTCGTGCAGGGTCACGTGGATGGCACGGGGGAGATTGTTTCTATGGTTCCTGAAGGGGATTCTCTGTGGGTGAAAATTAAGGTTGAGAAAGAGTTGCTGAAGTACATTGTGCCTAAAGGGTTTATTGCTGTGGATGGAACTAGTTTGACTGTGGTTGATGTTTTTGATGATGAAGTTTGTTTTAATTTCATGCTGGTTGCCTATACTCAGGATAAGATTGTTGTTCCTTTGAAGAAGTTTGGTCAGAAGGTGAATCTTGAAGTTGATATTCTTGGGAAGTATGTGGAGAGGCTTCTTAGTAGTGGGTTTGTTTCCTCCATTGCAACAAAGGTTGATGCTCTCAAACTATGATTGTCTTTGGATTAAATTAAGTTTTTTGAACTTATCTGGATATATAGATATTTAGGTGATTGTAAGATTATTTGAGTATTAAATATTGCTAGTAGTAGAAACAGCTTATGAAAGTATAATTGCAGGTTTTCAATGTATGATTATGTTTTAGTCTTTGTGATTCAATTGATTATGATACCTCATTTTAATTTCAGTTACTAGTATATTTAGCTTCTTCTTTAATATTCTTTAATATTTTGAAACTTCTAGTAATGTGATTGCCGAGATTATTACATACAAAAACAGAAATATAAACCTCAAAATTGACAAGGCAGCAGTCCCTCATCAGATGAAGTTGTGAGCAAATAGAAAAAAGAAGAAAGATATTAACTGAGTTTTGTCATACCTTAGGTTTTATGTATGTAACAGTCACTTTCTCTATTATGGAATCTATTAAGTTATCATTCATTATTGATGAATAGAACAAACGCCTCTTGTCATGATAATCACCTGCATCTTTGACAACCTGAAATAAAATCAGAAGCAATAATTACAATGACATACATTTCAACCTAACAAAACAAATATCATGAAATACTCGGTATTCACTGTATCTTGAATTCTGTAAAACCATTGGACCCGGAAATAATATTTCCTATCAGTAGTTTGAAAAAACTCAACAATCTTGCCAATATGTTTTTGTTCTTCTTCACCCTGTAAGAATCACATTGAATATAAGTATAACTAGCTCTCATTGTGTTCGTAGAATCACGAGATTTTGCGGTTGACAGATGTCACTGATATCCATATATTACTCTGCTGGCTCTTCATAGGAGGACAGTAGTAAGATTAATATGACTAGCCATACTCACAAGCAAGTTTTAAAGATATACTCGTACACCTTTAATAATAAAGTTGATGAACATGAACATATAGCAGTATGCTTTGAGGAATTTAGTTAGAAAAAAATAGGACAAGTGATAGTGTGGAGATCTATGTTGTTAATAGCAGCACTATAGCAGGCAATAGGAGAATCAAGGTCTGGTGCAATGCTAGATGCATGCGATCTGTTTTTCTGTAGCAGATTTAGCAGCCACGAATAGCAGTGGAATAGTATATTAGTAACTAAATTACCGCGTAGCTAAGGAAGTTAAAATTGACATCCTACATAGAATCGGGAAGCATAGAATCGGGAAGGGGAGTCAAGATCGTAGATTGCGGGATCCTAACAAAATTCATATTCATAGTTGTCCGCATTCTAAATGTCTAGTAGTGACAAACAAACAGATAAAATACCATGTTTCAGAACTATGCACTTACTTTTATAAATGCACAATCACCAATATTGAAAGTGAAAAATTTAGAAAACTTATCATAGAAAGAGTGTTAAAATCGCCAGAGTTGAATTTATGAATAAGTCAATACTTACTTTATTTTGAACACTTTATCTTTACATTGTTTGTCCTGCAATTTTCAACAGAAAAATCAAATAAAAAGAAAATGGAATACAGTGTGTTTGAATCAATAGAAACTAACAGACCTTTTCATTTCTTAAATTGAAGAATGCAAATATTGACCAACTAGTATGGGAAATGAAAATGGTTAATAATTTCTTCTCTTTTTGGGTATGCCATAATGTAGCTACAATAACATGAAAAGCATACTAAAAGAATCAGGCCAACAACCTTCAATTCATAGCGCCATCCCCATCTTTTGCGAGCTTCATTATCAGGTATTGGATCACCAATGAATAAAGAAATGTTTTTCTCATCCATACTTCCGTTAGCAAAAGAAGCAGATGATTTAAATTTCTTTTTTGAAGGTTTGCCTTGTAGCACAGACAAAGCAAAATAATCAGAATTTGTTCGGCCATTTTCAACCCAGGCTGAGGTTGTGATTTCCTCCGGAGACAGTGCTGAGCAGTCGATATCATCAACTTCAGGGGAATGCTGTTCCACTGATGAATTAGACAATTCAATGGAAGAAGAAATTACTTTTCTAGTTTTCTTCTTCTGGTGAACTACTTGCATGTTCTCATTCCCATTTGAAGACCTACATCTTCGAAGCTGCGTGACACAAGAATGAGAATATAGAATCTTTTATCATGGAATATTAAGAAAAAACATTATCAAATGTTGCAGGTATGTCAACAATGCGCACATTGTGCCAATGTGTTGTTACATATAATACTAGTAGCTAAACCAGATTAAATAAATGAAAGTACTTAATAGCACAAATCAAATACACTTCAACAACCCCAACAATAACAATAAGAAGAATAAAATTGTACATCGCTTGGGGAAGTAACTTAATTAAACACTTTGCGTAGATAATTTCTATAATTAAAGAAAAAATGTGATTAAATTGTTATTTTATTAGTAATATATTTTTCAGTCCGTTAAACTAGCTTAGTTGGTAGCTCTAATCCGTTAAACTAGCTTAGTTGGTAGCTCTAGCGACATCCAATTACATGAAAGCGAAGAATCTGAGACACTCAAATTATTCCCATTGGATTAAATTCAGGCCATTAACCTAAGAAAACGTTAATACGTTTTTCATAACTTATCCAGCAAGGTTAGCGGAGTAAGCTAAAAATAGTATTTTAAAAAGATAACGTTTATATATTAAGTGAATAATTGTTATCCAAAAAAAAATTTATATTATAATACATTATCTTTTGTAATTTTTAATTTTTAATGTATTGTCTAATTTTATGTTTTTAGTATTTACTTTAAAATATTTAAATAATAATAATCATGTATTTTTTCATATTTGATCAACAATAAAAACATTTAATAAATTGTAGCAAAAAATTATCATTAATTTCTAGTTACAATTATTGCATACAATTTTTTATATTTTAAAATCAATCACAAAAACAAAAAAATAAAGTAAAAAAAATATCATTTCAAATCATTCATACATTGAATATCATTCTATCACTTCAAATCATTCATGCATTAGATATCATTCTATCACAAACACGCATTTAAAAGATTTAATTTCTCTATTCTTTCACAAATACAATTTAATTATCATCTAAAATATGCTTATTTTTCTTAATTAAAAATTATTGCATATTTAATACTTTTATGATAATTAAAAACATGTTTATTAATTATTTAATAATTTTCTTATTCGCTATATATAAATATTAGTTATAAATAAGCAATAAAAATATACTTTTTTAATAGTTTTTATATAATTAATATATTGTAATAAAATTAACATTTATAATTATTAGTTATACAATTTAATATATAATCTATAATCTATAACATATATAAAAGACAAAACTTATTTTTGGTGTAGCCTTTTAATCAATTTTACCTTTACTCATATGTAACTTACACAATAACTTCTATTAAAACTACTATTATTATTAAGATACATATAAGTAAAGGTAAAATTGATAAAAAAGAAAAGATAAAACCGTTTGTCCGCTTTTTTAATACACATACATGAAAATAATTATGATATTTTTTATTTAATATTAATTTTAAAAGAAAGTTAATAATAGAAAATTACGTACGAGATAATAGTAGTAGTTTTAATAAAAGATATTATGTAAGTTACATATAAATAAAGATAAAATTGATAATAAAAAAAACTACATCAAAAACAAGTTTTATCTTTATATATGTTATAGATTTATTTAAAATAAAATAATAGTTAATTTTAAATATAAAAATAAGACTTAAATGATTTAAATTTAATTAGAGAAATAACTTGTAAATTAGATAAAATAAAAAACAAACAAAACCGACGTTATTAAATTGACAATTAATCAGAGTAATGATCAGTAATTAATTATAATAAAAAATTAATCACAATAATTCAAAATGGAAAGATTGAGTTTTAGTGTAGCTAAGTTATTGAAAAAAGGACAATTAATTTAAGTATCATTGTTCCTATCCGTTGATCTGTTATCAAACTAAATGAACGGTTAAGATGAATTCATATTATCTTCTCCCTAAATCCGCTCCCATCATTGAGTAACTAACGGTTTCACGGTTTACAAGTTCAATGTATCCGTTAGAGAAACGGTGTGAAATAATTAAAAATTAAAAATAAATAAATAAATAAACAATTTCACCCTTTATGTTACCGTTACAGAAACTAAAACGTCACCTAAAAATCACGTATATATTCCCACACATCTCTCCAACAAAACAACAACGTTAACATTGCTCTTCTTCCTCTGCAATTTCTTGTCTCTGTTATTATTCTGTAATTTCATTTCGTTTTTTTTCTGATTTACAATGGCTGAAACAAAAAACACTCATTACATTGTTGAAATCCCAGTAGACCAAGAACATCGTGAAACCAACAACAAGGCTTTGTTGTGTTCCAACATGTTTGATGCTATTGATGATCATCCATTAACCGAAATCTCTGAATCTCCTGGTCACCTCTTACTCTTAAAGCTATGGCAAAGAGAAGAAAACCTCTTCGCCAAACGCATATTAAGAAAAGAAACTAGAATGGATTCGATAAAATCTGAACTCTTTCAACTCTCTTCGTTTTTCTTCATCTTCCATGGCTTTTTCTTAACACTTTTGTTTACTTCATGGGCCAAAACCCAACAGAAGGGTGGTAGTAGTTGTAGGATTTGGTGGATACCTTCTATGATTTCTCTTTGCACTTCGCTTGTGTTTGTGTTTTTGGTTCAGGTGAAGCTGTATAGGTATTGGAAAGTGTGGGAACAGTTACAGAGGGAGAGGAATGATAGTAGAGGTGTTGGGAGGTGTATTCAGGAGTTGAGGATGAAAGGTGCTAGCTTTGATTTGTCGAAGGAGTTGGGTTTGAATGGGAAGAGGATGAAGAGTTCGAGTGTTGAGATTAAATGGAAGGTGGTTACTTGGTTTTCTCGGTATTTGATTACTGTTTGTCTTGTTTGTTTTACAGGTTCGGCTTTTCCTGCTTCCAAGTTTGTTTTGTGTGGCTTGTGAGGATGATGAGGATTATGAGGATCATGATGGAGCTTGTATTTATTCATTGTTAATGATTATGGTAAACAAACAAGTTTTATTTATTTATTTATTTATTTATTTATGCTATTTACTATTTTAAGATTTGTTTTGTTTTTTTAAGGTTTAGTGTTTTATGGAATTTTCAGCATGCTAAAGGAATGAAGCACTGTTGGTCCGATTGAGTTAGAAGCACTTGATTGATGAGATGAATCATGGACAAGCACAAAAAATGGCTTTGGAGGTTACAATGCAAATTACAAATTTAGCAAGGATGGGAATATGTATGGAGAGGGAAGATTCATCATTGCTTTATGCTGCAACTGAATATGTTATTGTGACTAGTGACTAAGATTCTGCAAGAGAATGGTTCTGTGATGAAGCGACACCTCTTGTGTGCCCCTGGCTTCTACAATTTTGTTAGGACTCGAGTGTAGCTATGATACTGCGAACTGCTACAATTTTGATTCATTTATACAAGTTTTTTGGACACTACTGATGTAGCTGTTATACCGCTAGCTGATTCAATTTTGATACATTCTGTGAATACTGCAGCTGTTTACACGATTAGCTGCTTCAATTTTGGAATATCTTGTGAAATAAAAGCCACCATTCAATTTTTGATCTCATTTTGTAATCTCTATAATGTTGGTCATTAGGTATCTATCTAAAAGGCTCTTGATTCAGCTCTTGATTCATTCTAACATTTTTTGTAAAGTGGACTTTTGAACTTTTCTTTGATTCTATCATTCTTTGATTCATTCTATCATTCTTCTTATGCTAATATTATCGTCCATTGCTTCGTCATCACAACTCATGTAAATAAGCACACAATAAGAAAGCAGTAAATAATACTTAGACCTCTAGCAATTTTTACAATCTTCTCACCTAATCACTGCCCGTGCAATTTTTACCTAGGACTCTCTTAGATATACTTAGACCTCTAGCAATCATTTGGAGAAAAAGTTCATGGACTTCTACATTCTCATATTTTTCAAAGAAAACCCAAATAATGATTTCATAAGTGTTATATCATATAGGGAAAACAACATTTTTCTTCAACTTTTGATGGCATTGTGTCTATTTATAGATATCTTAAAATACAGTATGTGCATTTTAAAGTCTTCTAAGTTTACCATGAAGACTTTAATTTAGTAATAGTCTCTCTAATTTATAATGTTGGAGCATTAACAATCTCATTTATGTTTGTATTATTCTTTAAAATTAATGAGTTAGCCATGAATTAATACTTAGATTAGAAGAAACATGAAAATCAAATCATCTAACTTCAAATCTCAACACTTCAAATCAAATCATCTAACTTTTGTTTAATGAAGAAAGCTAACAAAAACAAAATAGATACCAGGTACAACTATCACTATAACAAGATTTTGGTTCTTTTTTAATTTGTTTTCACCTACTTATTTCCATCAATAACTAGAATGAATTTGTAGAGAAGTTTATACTTAATAACTGTTTTACTTTCTTTCTCACCCCAAAATTGAGTCTCTGCATAATATACAAGGATTTATTGCAATGTGCATATATTAGCTTAGAATTTGGAACCTGGTGTGATGAATATCAAACTGTTCAGACGAATATCAAACTGTTCAGCATAGGATTCCATGTAAGAAATGAACTGGTGGTAAGATACTTAGGAAAATCTTGAGAAAAATTCATCAAAGGAACCTTACAAAAATGTTTAGGTAAATGAAGTTTCAAACAGTCCTAGATTCTATTTCACCAAAGTGAAGCTATACCGTCACTTCTCTTGAGAATAACACTTGGAACACCTTGTTCGTATAAACAAGCCGCTAATCTTATACCAGAAGGACCAACACCTGCAATGATAGGTTAATGAATCAATAAACACTTAAATTTTTGTTTGAAAGGATCCATGTTTGTGTGTTTTGTTTGTGGAAGATGATAAAGTGATAAAGCGAGAATTTAAAGAGTTAGGAAGGAGTTTAAAGGTGAAGTGAAAGGGTTAAAATGATAAAGTGTGTTTTGTTTGTGGAAGATGGCGCAGATACGGATGCCGATACTCCGACACTAATAATATAAATATAAAATATATAGAACATAACAGTTAATGTATATATTATGTTTTTCAAGAGGTGATGTTATGAAAGCATAAACTAACCAGATCATTTAAATATTATGATTAGTATTTGCATTCTCCCTAACAGCCCCAAACAATCTCATATTAATAACTAATCTTCAACTACTACATGCATCAAACAGAAAGATTGACAAGTTTTAAGCATCAACAACTAATTTTCCTCCTAACTCGATCCAAAGCAATTAATCATAAATCATGCTTCAATTCCTCTAACAGTCCCCAAACAAAACAACAAACAATTCATTAACATGACTCCAAACAGTTTCACTCTAACTCCTCCTAACTAACAACATCATAACTAACTAAATGGCTTTAACAGAAAAAGTTTAACACGGTTAACATTGCAACTAACTCATTAATCTCTTTACTAACAATCATCATCATACTAACTTTGATCACACGCACTAACTTCTAACACCTTATCAGCTAACTGTTTCTATCTAATTCACGCCTCTATTCGACATCTCCAATTACATTAAGGGTGTGTTTGGTTCGGAGTAGATGGAGGGGAGGAGAAATTTCTAATTAAATATATTTGGTTCAAATCTTAGGAGGAGAGGGGAGCAAAATGTCTCAAAAACACATTTTTTGGTTTCCTGCAAATTGAGGGATTTGGAGGAGAAGGGAGGGAATATGAGTTTTAATATTTAAAAATTATTATATTTACTAAAATATCTTCAGTTTAATTTCAGTATTTCAAAACTATTGTTTTCTTTCGTGTTACTGTTTTTTGTCGATTGTTTCCATCAATTTATTATAATTGTTCTCCACCTTTAAAATATTTTATAATTTTTATACTTAATATAAATCATAATCATTGTCTTTTTTTTATAAAAAAAATTATGTTTAGTTATATTTGTTTTTTTTTTTCCTTTTAATTTTGTTACGTATTCTATCATATTTTCTTTTATATCAAATTGTAAACCATTCATTTTATTTATTTTTGTTTTATTAAATATTTTGAATCATTAATATTTAATAATAAATTATTTTATATATTTGTTTTGTTATATGATTCATCACAATTTAAACGAAGTTATTGGCATATAATTTAATTTAGATTGGAAAGTTATAAGTCGAATAAATTGTACTCAATTTTTTAATTTTATGTGACAAATAAATACTTTTTTAATCACTCAATATTAGAAATTTTATTACCAACAAAAATACACATGAATTTTTTATATTTTAATATCATATGACTTATATAAGATCATAAGGATAAAAATGTAAATTATTGATAAAACCTCTCCCCTCCCCTTCTGAACCAAACACACTTTTAATTAGATCTCTTTCTCGCCCCTACTCTCTTTTAAACCAAACACTTATTTGATTAAAAAAATCTTTCAGCTCCCCTCCCCTTCCCTTCGTTAAAATCCCTCCCTTACCCTCTCTCTCATTTGAACCAAAGAGACCCTAACAACTCTAATAGATTGTTAACAATGTTACTAACTTTAAACAAACCAGCCTCATAGCTTGCCCGATTCTGTTACAAAAACATCTCAATATAATCTTCATTACACTCTTTAATCCACAACAACAATCATTCCAGGAATTTCACTCTCTCACAATCACAATCCCACAAAAGTCATTTTCAAACTCACTACTCTGAAATTCTCTCTCTCTCTCTGCAATTCGAATTGCTTACCACGTTGAAGAGTCTCTAATTTTCTTCCTTAATCATCGTCATTTTCGCTTCAACAATCTCCTAACGAATCACAGTCTAGCTAGTAGGTTGTTCTTCCATAATGTAACTTCCATTGAGGGGAATGAAAGCCCGAAGGTGGAGAGGCTTGATTCCCATCTGTTCCCGTTTAATTGTTAAAATTGCTTCTTAGGGTTCTTGATTGTTCTTTTTTTATTTGTAAAAATTGTTGGGGAGGTCGTGAGGATGATTTTAGTGGTATCTTGGTAGATGGACAACTCCGCCGCCTCCGACGCGGCGGAACAGAGGTTCCGACGAGGCATTTTCTATATTTTAATATTTTTAATAAAATTTATTTTTGTTATAAAAACGCTTTGAAAAGTCCATAAGAATACTTAGTTTTTAATTAGCAATCAGTTGATTTTTTAGTCTCGTTTTCACACTTTAAAAATACTTTAAAAAATAATAAAAATAGTTACGATTAATGAGATCTAGTTGTTAGATGTAGTTTTTGGAGTTAATCCCATTTAATGTTCAAATTAAGTCCTTTAGAATGTGCTTAACATGTATTTAGCATGATCATCACCCTTTGATAAGTTGATCAAAGTCATCTTTAATCATTTAATCACTTGTCTTAGTTTGACTGCTTTGATTAGTTGATCAAAGTCATCTTTGATAATTTAATCACTTGTCTTAATTTGACTGTTTTAATTAGTTGGTCAAAGTCATCTTTGATCATTTAATCACTTGTCTTAATTTGATTGCATCTCCTATCCAATCAAGTGATCATAAGTCTCTTGATCACTTGATTGGATTACACCTCTGTAATCCCATTGCACTGGACCACTCAAGTCATACTTAACTTAAGACTTCATACTCAAGAATTTGAAGACTCCGGACATTAAGACTGGATCACTACTTTATCCTTCAAACACAACAAGAAGATTCTTCTTTTAACACTTATCAGTTACAATGTGAATTGTGCGCCACGAGGCTTAAGCAATTGAGAAGAATGAGAGTGATTATTCCTAACCTTGTTATGGGTATATTTGAATACGGGATATAAGCACCAGTTATTCAAAGTATTCGTCTTCGTTCATAGACTTTAGTGCAATTAAAGTCGAATAACTTTCAAGCTTTCTTCCCCACAGACCACTGCAACAATCAACACCAACAATACCTTTCCTCTTTGGACCAAACACAAATCAATTTGGA